TATTTTGTTATTTGATTATGAGGTTTACTGGTGAATAAGATCAGATATTCTGGAAAAGAATGGTGTTTTGAATCGGCTCTTATGTTGCATACCCTCTCTCGTGGCGTTCTCAGCTGCTGACATGGCCGTCCCTCCTATATTGTTGACCATCTCATCTACTCTGGCTTCATGCTTCAGGAAACATGGCCGCACCACATGCCTGTACAGTATCTGAGAACCATTCCAGGAGACCGGAGCCATGCACCACAACAGGAACAAGCACTAAACACCAGAGAAAATAAAATAAAAAATACACACACACACAAAAAAAAGAGCAAGGCAGTAAAAAAGGGGGTTATCAGGTGTGAGGTGTGAGAATTCACCATTAACATAAAGCGACGTAGAGTTGTCCCTACCAAAGAGACTAAAGCGGCTGAGAATTATAAAAGTTTGCAAACCTTACAATTACTATTTGTGTTTTGTATCATGTACTCTCGCTTTCCCGTATATATGGATATTGTAGCAGCCTCACCTGTGACGCAACATGCGCAAACAAATGATGAAAGTATACCGTTTCCCAGGAAATCTGTCCCGAGAACTCTAAAATATAAATAATTATGGCTTACCACAGTGATTTAGTGTAAAGCAAAAACACAGGATAGAAAATGGTTTTACAATGTACTCAGTCATTTCATTTTTGTTCATTTTAAACAGGAAAAGGTTACATTTTAAATTATGTATTTTTTTTTACAATTTACTTTCTAGTCTCAGGATATTTCATAAAAATTATTTTATGAAATCATAAAACATTTACAACTACATACAAACATTTCTATTCACATTTCTATTCAAATTATACAAACAAACAATGTTTCAAATATTATAACAAAACACACAAACACATGTGTTGTTCCAGTAATATTTATTTACTATTATAGTATTCATTAATACAATTTATTTTATTTTATTTATTTTTTAGTTTACATTTTAGTAGTTTTGTTATGTGCTTTTGTCATTTTTATTAGGTTTGAAATAAGAAATATGTTTCATATTTTTTACATTTTTTTAAGGTGTGGTAATTTAGTACTTTAACTTATTTTATTTCAGTTAGTTCTGTAGTTTCCATTAACAAAAATATTTTTTTTTAGGTAACAACAATATGGAAGTCTATGGAAGCCCGTTTCCGCCACTGAATAGAAAATTTTAAAAAAAGGTAATTGCGATTTTTTTATCTGACAATTCTGACTTTTTTTCACAGAATTGTGAGATATAAACTCGCAATTGCGAGTTATAAAGTCACAATTGCGAGATAAAATCTCGCAATTATAACTCGCGATTATATATCTCAGGATATCTGGAATCAGTGTTACAAGTACCCCCAGGCACATCGTATTTATATTTTTGAAGCATAAACCCCATAAAAACGATGCGAGCTTCGGATAGTCCAGTGTTTCTCTATGGCGCTGAAACCATAGACTGTATAAAAGCATGGACATAGTGTCCGTGACGTCACCCGTAGATTTCCGAAGAGCGTTTTGAAGCTCAAAAGTGGGCGGAGCCAGCCGTCGCCATCTTGGCAGCGCGTCACCGCGCGTCACTCCCGGATAATCGAAAATGGGCAAAGAGGCGGGAGCAGGTTGCTGAAGCCACGCCCACCTAGCTCGACGGTGGTGACAGCAGCGGCAATCCACCTGTCACTCAAGTGGCCACGCCCTTAATTATGCAGAACTTTAAGGCTTAATATAATTTAAACGGATGAGTTATAAAAAAATTCACCCCCCTCACAGTTGTCATGAAGGGAAAAATTAGGTATATAGACCAAAATCATTTTTTGAACCAGGCTGTAAACATGTTTTTTCTGCTGTAAAGTTGGGCATTTTAACATGGGGAGTCTATGGGATTGACTCCCTTTTGCAGCCAGCCTCTAGCGGCCAGTTGATGAATTACAGTTTAAGTCACTTCCGTGTTGGCTTCACGAGAGAGAGCGGGAGGTTGCCGCTTGACTGAAACCTAAAGATGTCAGAGTTCCGCTCCCCATGCAACTGATACTCGACTGCCATTGGCTCATTTGCGTTTAAGGGGAGGGGCTTACCGATAGGTCAATTGCAAGAAAAAAGTCAGAATAGTGAGTTTATATCTCACAATTCTGACTTTATAACTGGTAATTGTGAGAAAAAAAGCCAGAATTGGGAGATGTAAACTTGCAAAATGGCGCGAAAAAAAAGAAGAAGTCAGAATTGTGAGATAAAAAGTTGCAACTACTTTTTTTTTATTCAGTGGCGGAAACGGGCTTCCATACAACACTGACTGTAACATATAATTCCAATAAAATAAGATAAAAATATTGTGCATCTGTATAGTGTGATTGATTTTAAAATTATGTTAAAATACCAATGCTAAAACCAAACATATGCCCTTGACCACTAATATGGACAAACTGGCAGATGTCTAAAGACCAACAACAGAGCTGTCCTAAATTAAAGAGCTTGCCAAACAACTAATTAACCTCTCAGATGGAGTATGACAAAGGAAGGCAGACTCTTTCCTCCAATTAGCAGAAAGAATTAATAACTGATCCTCTTAAATCAGATGTTAGCCAGAGAAAGCATCTGGCCTTGTTCTACCTACCTTACACACATAGTAGAAAGGAAACCAGTGAAGAAAAATGTCAGAGAAGAATTCACCCACGCTGAAGAAGCCGTAGATTACCCAGTATGTCAGCCACTGTGTGTCATCCTCCTTATCAGGACTTTCTATTGCTTTGATACTAAAAATGTAAACAGAACAAAATGTGAATACCCAAGTTAAGAAGTTACAGCAACCAAACAAAAACACTATAATAAAGATGTATTGTAGGTTACGATAACTGATGATCTGTAAAAAAAAAAAAAAAAAACTCTTAAAAGCACATAACTCACGAGTAATATGCAGGATAAGCAAAACCAATCAGATTACAGAGCAGAGAAGCACCGTATCCAAATAATAAACATGCTCCAGTCACACCAGCAGCACCTGTTGGAAGAAAATCATAAAATGTCCTTGTGTAAACACCTTGTGTAAACAGCAAAATCACATGTGAAATGACTGTAAATAACTAGCTATCATGGGTAACTGTTTTTGGATGAAGCCTCAGATGTAATCTTTAGCACTATTTTTCAATGTAGAGTTAGATGTTGAGGGATGAAGGCGAAGTCACGGGTTGGTTATGTCAGACAAAATCTCCCTTTGAGAAACTTCATTATTCAGAAATTGATTTATACATTTCAGCTATTTTTCTGTCCTTTTCATGAAGGGAAGTTCATTTCTCTTTATTTATGATGTTATGATATTTGTCATTTATTTCAAATGCCAAAAATAAGCTTCAGTGTATCAAAGCAGCTTCGACTGACTTGAGCACCTGCCACATCAAAATTTAGGATAACCTAGCCTACAGGTACTTTTTATTAAATATACAGAACATGAAACGGGCTTTATATAAAATCAGGACTTACCGAGTGCTAAATAACGTTTCTTGATGCCTGTTTTTTCTTCGATTTTATTGAGACAGTCAGTGACTATATTCTTCTCATTCAAAAAAGCCTCAACGCGGTCTTTTATCTTTGCAAATATGGTAAACATCGCTGCTTAAAAGGAAAGTGTAACGTTATGCAGTTAAACACAAGTGTATGAATGATAACGTGTCTCTGGGCTGTTTTCGCTGACTGGACACAGACTCAATCCTCTTACTGTCAGACTAGTGACGCGTCTGTGGGAGGATTTCAGGACTCCAGACTGACAGCTAACACCAATTACACTTCATTGAAGACGTCAAACTAGTGCAAAAGATGAGGAATCTTAAATTACATTTTAAATTTAACTTAAATGCATTTGGTTACTTTAGCTTACGGCTATCGCCCTATTGGCTTAGGCTACACCTGGTTATGTAATCAATATCAATAAATTTCAGTAGCATACTAAACAGTTGTAACCACTAGGGGACTCTGCTCACCTGACATTACGTCAGTCTTGTTATTTCTGCAGCACAGGAATATGAACTGTGCCAAATAAATGTTCGTTTAATAATAAAGTAAAATAAATTAATTTTTCAAATCATTCATCACTATTAGCCTAAGTAGCCTATCTAAGCCAGTGTTTCTCAACCAGGGGTATGTGGACCCCTAGTGGTCCTTGACGTAAGGCCAGGGGGTCCATATAAATGAATTTTATATGGATTTTTGTATACATTTTGTATATTTTGACGACGTGTTCCCATGAAAGAAAAATCCAATATAGCTGATGATATGGCCAAATACTGGACAAGTCAACTAACTTGAATAATATTTGACTGCATTTGGTCCTCACAAAGACACAAATGATACATAGATGAGTCAATTTTGTTCTGGGGGTCCTTGAGGATGGTTCTGAATTGGACTGGGGTCCGGTACGCCAAATGTTGAGATTCACTAAGCCAATTTAACCATAATATTTCTCCACTCTGCTCTTTCTGCCAAGAGGAAGAAGAATCTATTTCACATTTATTCTATTTCTGTTAAACAATTATGGCTTCAAATATCAGCTTCCCTACTTATGTGTTCCACCAGCTCAGCTATTTCTATCTGTAAGGTTATTTTCCATTCTCATGTTTCGGACAATAAGGAGTTAGATGATGTCTTAAACTTTATATGTATGATGGATGGGTAAATACCATATCCACCAAGATAGATACCTTAAATTTAAACCCAGTTGCAAAATATTAGCTTCTGATTTACAATTACTATTGTCATCACTTCAAAAAGTCTCCTGCAATAAAAAAAAAAGCTATGACGACATCTCGTATGGTCTCTCTCTTTCTCTCTTTCCTTTGTTTCCACCCCCATGTTTTATGTTCTTTGGTCTGTATTATATTTCTGCAAAAAAAAAAGAAAAAAAAGAAGACCGAATCTATCTGATAGCTTACTGGAAATGCATAGACAGACAGGTATGCGAATACCTTGAGCAGGCAAGCGCGTACACGTCGTTATGGCGAAATGGGGGGAAATAACCTGAAGCACTAATGTCACGTTACCTCAGAAGAATAAAAAGTTGTCTTTGTTTTTTAATGACACGGAGATAAGATGAAAACCAGGAGAAAGAAATCATTCAGAGCCGTAAAGTGCACGTTATTTGTGTTTTGCTACATCTTCTGGGTAAGAGTGTGTCTTGTAATCAATGTAGCATATGCTGATTTATGGAGCAGCGATGTGTTTTGTGTTTTTTTTTTTCTTCTTTATTGCATAGGGTGAATTCAGGTAAAGTGGGTCGTTTAAGCTTGATTATACTTTGCTCAATGGGTTTACAAGTAAAGTGTGGCCACCTTGAACCTTCACTTAGCTAAATAAATTGTAGACTGGTACTAATACATTAAGTAAATTGACATTCATTTGTTATTTTTATAATTAACATATATATCTGACTTTTTACAAAACAGATATGAGTGTGCAGTCGGGATAATCAATTCAGATATGGAAGAAAGTAAGCAGAAAGGATGGCAAAGCTTGAAGTTGAATCTGAAGTGAAAAAGGGAAGACAGGAGCAAAACATTTCATCTAAAGTTTTACAACAATACACTCTAAATTTGTTGTTCATTTGCATCAAAATTGCATTAGATTTCATCAAATCTAATATCAACACAACATTCTATCAATTGTTTTGAATTTTACACATGAATTGAGTGAATTTTTTAACTTTACTCATAGCTCATGCTATATGTTTTCATGTCAGGTTTGTTAAATATGTTTGTTTGATAATATTAAACAAACAAATATGTTTTTATAATTTCTATTTAAGATACAGGATCTTTTTTTTTTTTTGATAAATCAAAGATGGCCCACTTTACCTGAAAATACATTTATCTGGAGTGCATGATCTCAAAATATGTATTAGCATATACCTTCAAAATAGCACATTATGTGAACTAAAGAAAATGTTATAAGACCTTAAAGTTAATCTGCTCAATAAAAAATACCCAACCTTACCAGAAGAATTCACCCTATTAACATGTGAACAATATGCATATTAAATTTTATTTTATGTTGGGCCTATACTGCATGTTGTTGAGAAAATTTGAATGGAATTTAAGTGTTGAAAACATTTTATACAAATGAGTGTTATTGTGCTAAAGGTGTTCAGTGCTGTTCTAATTGCTGTTGGAATCTATGCCAAAGTTGCCAAAGAGTCAGGTATGTAAACAACATTTACCATATTCTTTCATCTTTTGTAATGAAAGAAGCTTGCAAACACTTAAGAATGACAAAAGATATGTGCATATTACATTATACTGTATTATGCTTACCAAATCAGTTTCAGTATGTTGTTAATGAAGATATGTCAGCTACCCATGTACATTTTACACTGTATATATTCTTCGCTAATGCTTCACAGATGTAGTGGACATGCTGATGGCAGATCCAGCGCTGCTGTTGATCATCGTGGGTTCTCTCATGTTCACCATCACGTTTTTTGGCTGTTTCGGAGCTCTGCGCAACATCTCCTTGCTGCTCAACATGGTCAGATATTCTTACCCTTATACTGTGACAAGCCCGATTTTAGTCACACGCATGATTTTTGGTTTTTATATATTTACAAAGAAATCATATCTGTCCAGTTTGTAGGAATTTTGTTGGCCATTCTGCTTCTTCAAGTAACAGCCGCTGTTCTGGGCCTTCTGTTCTCTGAAAAGGTAAAGAATCACAGAAGTACAAGAACAAACTTTGGACCAGATTCCATCTTGGAGAAATTATGTTATATTTAAAACGACTACTTTCAATATTTGTTGGTAGGTTCAAGAGAGGACAGAGCAGCTGATGATGAAGGCGATTGTACGCTATCGTGATGATCAGGACCTGGAAAATGTGATTGATTTTTTACAGAAAAAGGTGAATTAACTTTATATATACACATACTGTATACAAAAAATACAGTAAAAAACATAATAAAGTGAAATATTATTACAATTTAAAATAAGTTTTCAATTTTAAAATTGCAACATGTAATTTATTCCTGTGATGGTAAAACTATAATTTCAGCATAATTTCTTCAGTCTAATATGCTGATTTGCTTCTCTAGAAACATTTCTTATTTATTACACTCTAAAAAATGCTGGGTTAAATACAAGTCAGTGCTGGGTAAAATATGGACAAACCCAGCAATAGGGTTGTTTTGACCCAGCGGTTGGGTTACTACCCAGCAAGTTGTGTTAAACATTTAACCCAACCGCTGGGTCAAAACAACCCTATTGCTGGGTTTGTCCATATTTTACCCAGCACTGACTTGTATTTAACCCAGCATTTTTTTGAGTGTATCAGTGTTGATGTTGTACTGCTTAATAAAATCTTTTTTGTCGAAAGTATGATACTTTTCAAAATTATTTGATGAATAGAAATTATAATATAATTTTTAAGTTATAAAATAGTATTAAGTTATTATATAATAATATAATAGTATTTATTTGAAATAGTTACAATAGTTACTTTTCATCAGATTCATGTATGCTTGCTGAATAGAAGTATTAACTTCTAGTAATAACATTTCTGACCCCATGCATTTGAACAGTATAGTGTAAGTATGTGAGATTGATGAATGGCCGATGCATGCAATGGCAGAGGTCAAAGATTACACTGTTGATCTTTCTATAATCTTACTATATCCTGTAGTTTAAGTGCTGTGGCGTGGATTCCTATTTAGACTGGTCTAAAAACATGTACTTCAACGCATCTGACCAGAACCCCAGTCTGGAGGCCTATGGAGTGCCCTTCTCCTGCTGCATACGGCTAAAGAACGAGGTCAGATAGTCAAAATCAAATATTACTGTTAGTATTCTTCGGAGTATTACTGCAATTAATTCATGAAACATTTAAAGTCTTTTTATACTTTTTTTTTGTTATTGCTGGGCAACGATTAATCGCGATTAATCGCATCCAAGATATGTGTACGTAATATATATGTGTGTGCTGTGTGTATATTTATTATGTATATATAAATACACACATATGCACGCCTCTATTTAAGAAAAATGTTATGTTTAAATATTAAATATATTTATATACAATATAAATTATATGAATATAAACATATGCATGAAAACACATGTAAATATTTTCAAAATATATACTGTATGTGTGTGTGTATTTGTATATACATAATAAATATACAAAGTACACATGCATATATTATATAAACAAAAACTTTTATTTGGAATGCGATTAATCGCGATTAGTCGTTACAGAATTTTTTTTTTTTTTTTTACTTTTTAAGAATCTTAAATATACTAGTTTGAAAATGACACTTAAGACTGTTAGAATGTTCAGTATTAAAAATAAAATGAAAAGCTATGATATTACGTGAACATTTGCATACTGAATTATTAGTAGCACAGTCACATACTTCATATTAACTGTTTATTTATGTGTAGACTGTGTTCAACTCTATGTGTGGCTATGAGACCCAGAAGATGAAGAAGAGTGTGGTGAGTCGGCTCATCTACACCTCTGGATGTCTGGACGAGATCGTCTGGTGGGGAAAACAGAATCTTCTGCTGGTGGGAGGGATGACCCTCGCCCTACTTTGCATTGAGGTTAGGCACACATTACGTATTTTTATTTTCTTCAAAATATTTGTCATCCCTGCAGCACTTTATTACTGAAGAAAATTGAAAGACTATATAACAGAGCCATATATATATATATATAAATAATAGTGGGTCACACTGAAATAGTGGAGGATGGAGTTCTTCCACATGTACTGTAGGTGAGTAGATGTGGGTTCTCCATTGATTTATAAAAGTTTATACTGGTCATAATACATGGCATTGTGTCATGTGCTAACATAAAAAAAACTATATTTTCCTGTGCTTGTGTCTGTTTACATATCTGTTTTGTTAATAAAATATATTTTACAACATGCTGTCTTTTACTTTTAACACTTGCAATATTGATTCAATTATTATAAAATGACTAAATAGTAAATTGTTTGATTTGTTGTATTTTTATGTAATTACAAAGTTAGAATATTGTAATTACAAATATGTAATAAGACAGATGATATCTTAGTGTAAAGCCTAATTCTATACACAGATGGGCTGCTAAATTGTAAGAGGTTTAGAACCTTGAAAGTATTTAAAGGAGAACACATGTGTTGGATGGTTTGCTTTTAATCAAACCAATGCTGATGAAATTTAACTGGGCAGGGCTGTAATCTGGGAATTCATTGTTCACGGTGTGTGGAGCGTTCAGGTTTTTCTGACGAGAGGTGACTCGGTAATGTGCTCTGAAGTTACAGAGGGGGATGTATCCAGGTTTAAGGGTGTCTGGACAGTGAAAGCCTTCCTTGATGAAAGAGCCATGCTGGGACATGGCAACAAGTCCATCCTTGTGTGGCATCATCTTTATGATTGGAGAGTAGACAAACTGGATGTACAGCAAACTACCTGTAAATAAATTGAAGTCAAGCAACTGAATCAGACATGAATGACATTATTAGCAAATTATTAGTGAATCTTCCACAGACTGATTAGTCATAAACACATAGGTATCATATGCAGCAGTGAACAATCCTCACCACAAGAGACATCCCAGACCTTGATAGTTTTGTCCAGGGATCCAGTGAAGATGTATTTATCATTTATTGAGAAGACAGCACAGAGGACGCCTTCAAAATAAAAACCCTTAAGAATGAAACAAGACAACACATGCCTTATTAATCTCACACATTTGTTGGCAACATTATGTCATCGTTCCAAATGCAGAGCACACTGAAAAATAAGTTAACGAGTTAATTAGTTCTTGTTGACTTGTTTTCAAGTAAAAATAGCACAAGAAAAAAAAAAAAAATAAATAAAAATTTAAGTGCAAACCCAGCCCAGAAGAAAAGAAGAGCTACAGGAACAACAAAAGAAGGCCTCTGAATGGATTCAAAAATGGGGCTGGACCAAAAGAGGGACCTTAGGGAGGAAAGCTGAAATGGTCAGACTCTTTAAGCCAGTGTGGGATACAGAGGGGAGAAGTTGGCGGCACATGCTGAGTGATCCAAAGTTAGCATATGTAATACAGGAATCAAGAGACAAAAGAGCTCCATGACCAAGTCTCACTATGGACTCTTCCGTGATTTGAACCTGGGACCGCTCATACCCAAAGCGAGACTCATACCCCTAGACCAACAAGCCAGCCTTGGCATCCCACCTAGCCATGAGCCAAAAAAAAGAAGAGAAGAATAACTATAGCAATAACAAAAGAAGGAACATGAACTAATATGGAAGTAATCAAACCCCTCGAGACAGTGTCAAAGGCAAACGAATGAAATCTGGCCTCTGAATGGATTTAAAAATGGGGCTGGACCTAACATGCAGAAGGATCTTAGGGAGGACAGCTGAAATGGTCAGATGTCCCATAAACTTTAAGCTAGTGTGGGAAACAGAGGGGAAACGTTGGCTGCACAACCTGAGTGATCCAAAGGTAGCACACATAATACAGGAATCCACACACATATGTACTGGAGTAACAAGACCAAGAAGGGCCTTAAAAACAAAAGTACAATCTCTTTTCTTCAAGCCCATTATAATAGCGGTAGCTTTTCGAAGACGTATTTTGGAGCAATGGACATCACTCCACCATGGCCACGGGAATTAGCTCAAATGGTAGAGTGCTTGCTTAGCATGCGAGAGGTAGCGGGATCGATGCCCGCATTCTCCATGCTGGGTCCTGCCCTATTATGCTCACTTCCCTAAAGAGACAAACTGTGCTTTGACATTACAAAGCAAAGCGCCCAACGTGAGCTTTTGGGGCTCACTGCAGCCGAAAAGTTTTTTTGGATCGGGTCTTGCGCACGTTGGTGATAAAAGCAAGTCCCACCGAGATTTGAAATTAGATCAACAAAGAGTGAAAAATTTAAGGGGGTCTGAATACTTTCCGTACCCACTGTATATATATCTCTACCATGTGTAGTATCTAGGACCTCTCGTACCCAAAGCGAGAATAATACCCCTAGACCAACAAGCCAGCCTTGACAGAACACCTAGCCATTAGCCAAAAAAAAGAAGAAAATACAATATGGGGTGCTGTGTGTACATTAATGAGGGAAAAAAATGAACTTAAATGATTTTAGCAAATGGCTGCAATATAACAAAGAGTGAAAAATTTAAGGGGGTCTGAATACTTTCCGTACCCACTGTATATATATCTCTACCATGTGTAGTATCTAGGACCTCTCGTACCCAAAGCGAGAATAATACCCCTAGACCAACAAGCCAGCCTTGACAAAACACCTAGCCATTAGCCAAAAAAAAAGAAGAAAATAATAACTACAGCAATAACAAAAGAAGGAACATGAACTAACATGGAAGTAATCAAACACCTCGAGACAGTGTCAAAAGAAAACTAATGGAATCTGGCCTCTGAATGGATTTAAAAATGGGGCTGGACCTGACATGTAGAGGGATCTTAGGGAGGACAGCTGAAATGGTCAGATGTCTCGTAGACTTTAAGCTAGTGTGGGAAACAGAGGGGAAAAGTTGGCTGCACAACCTGAGTGATACAAAGGTAGGATACATAATACAGGAATCCACACACAAATATACTGGAGTAACAAGACAAAGAAGGGCCTTAAAAACAAAAGTACAATCTCTTTTCTTCAAGCCCATTATAATAGCGGTAGCTCTTCGAAGACGTATTTTGAAGCAATGGAAATCACTCCACCATGGCTAGGGGATTTTGCTCAAATGGTAGAGCGCTTGCTTAGCACGCGAGAGGTAGGCGGATCGATTCCCGCATTCTCCAAGCTGGGTCATTTCTTTTTATGCTCACTTCCCTAAAGAGACAAACTGTGATTTGACACTACGAAGTAAAGCTACCTATGTGAGCTTTTGGAGCTCACTGCAGCCGAAATTTTTTTTGGAACGGGTCCTGCGCACAACGGTGGTAAGCACAAGTCCCACCAAGATTTGAACTTTGATTGCTGGATTCAGAGTCCAGAGTGCTTACCATTACACCATGGATATTTCACAGTAGCAACTGTTGCTCACAGGGACTCAAAGAGTAAATCACTTACAGGCTTGCCAGCACCACCACCAAACTTTTTTCTTTTCCTGCTGCAAGAAAGCACGCAGGTTCCACGAAACTTGAACGTGGATCGCTGGATTCAAAGTCCAGAGCGCTAACCATTTCACCATGGAGCTACACCACTACACTTGGGCGACAGGTAGTGCTGTGGCTGTGGGGAAGCAGATAGACAGAGTGGTTGGATCCCAGTAAATTATGGTCACTGGCCCCCTTGGCGTTACTTGCACAACGCTCTAACCATCTGATCTAACCAACCTAGCTTTGATTGGACTTCTGCCCGATTGACTAAAAACTTCCTGATTGCTTGTGACCCTAAAGAGACAAAAGAGTCCCTATGTGAGCTTTTGGGGCTCACTGCAGCCGAAAAGTTTTCTGGAACGGGTCTTGCGCACAATGGTGGCAAGCGCAGGTCCCACCGAGATTTGAACTCGGATCGCTGGATTCAAAGGCAAACGAATGAAATATGGCCTCTGAATGGATTTAAAAATTGGGCTGGACCTGACATGTAGAGGGATCTTAGGGAGGACACCTGAAATGGTCAGATGTCTTGTAGACTTTAAGCTAGTGTGGGAAACAGAGGGGAAAAGTTGGCTGCACAACCTGAGTGATCCAAAGGTAGGATACATAATACAGGAATCCACATACAAATATACTGGAGTAACAAGACAAAGAAGGGCCTTAAAAACAAAAGTACAATACCTTTTCTTCAAGCCCATTATAATAGAATTAAATCACTCCACCAAGGCTAGGGGAATTAGCTCAAATGGTAGAGCGTTTGCTTAGCATGCGAGAAGTAGCCGGATTGATGCCGGCATTTTCCAAGCTGGGTCCTTTCTTTTTATGCTCACTTCCCTAAAGAGACAAACTGTGATTTGACACTATGAAGTAAAGCTACCTATGTGAGCTTTTGGGGCTCACTGCTGCCGAAAAGTTTTTTGGAACGGGTCCTGTGCACAATGGTGTCAAGCGCAAGTCCCGCCGAGATTTGAACTCGGATTGCTGGATTCAGAGTCCAGAGTGCTTACCTTTACACCATGGATATTTCACAGGAGCAGCTGTTGCTCACAGGGCCACAAAGAGTAAATCACTTACAGGCTTGCCAGCACCACCACCAAACTTTTTTTCTTTTCCTGCTGCAAGAAAGAACGCAGGTTCCACAATTGGGAAAAGGCGACCAAGCCTTGCTATGAACTCTTCTGTGATTTGAACCCAGGACCTTTCGTACCCAAAGCGAGAATAATACCCCTAGACCAACAAGCCAGCCTTGTTAGGCCACCTAGCCATTTGCCAAAAAAAGAAGAAAATAATAACTACAGCAATAACAGAAGAAGGAACATGAACTAACATGGAAGTAATCAAACACCTCAAGACAGTGTCAAAGGCAAACGAATGAAATCTGGCCTCTGAATGGATTTAATAATTGGGCTGGACCTGACATGTAGAGGGATCTTAGGGAGGACAGCTGAAACGGTCAGATGTCTCGTAGACTTTAAGCTACTGTGGGAAACAGAGGGGAAAAGTTGGTTGCACAACCTGAGTGATCCAAAGGTAGGATACATAATACAGGAATCCACACACATATGTACTGGAG